AATGGATCACCTTACCTTGAGGTTAATACTTGTATATGGTACAAGATCTGATCAACGTCTTGTTATGTCATCGAGACTTAAAACTCTCGAGCTGTTGGCTATCTTAGTACGATAGCGAGCTCCAGAGATAACCACAAGCTCCCTACTTCATCTGATAGGTACTCTGAGTTATCGTAAGTAATGAAGTGGATTTAACTATTTTATCACGTGTCTGTATCAATGGGAAACCTTAAGAGCCGACCAAACCAGCTCTGCCTCTCAACACTGGGTCATCCTAATCTCCAGGGGCAGGTCGGGCTGACGTTGCTGGCTCAGGCGAATCTTCTGGAGATCTGCACCAAAATGGCCCCATTCATAACCCTATGGGGAGACATATATACCGGGATAGACGGAGTAGGCATGGGGGGTCCCCCACTAGAAGTCGTCTTTGCTAACTTCTATATGGGAACACTAGACACACCATCTTCAAAACTACAGGGGAAACTTGGCATCTACTGCAGATACATTGTCCTGACTGGCAGAACATCCACAAGGAACTCCACAGAAGCCTTTAAGTATTAATAAACAACGGGTTATCTTGAGATGATTTCGGGGCTTAGCGTCCCCGCGGCCCGGTCCTCGACCAGGCCTCCAAGTAACCACATACAGAGTGTACATAGCACAACACTCACGAGGACCACGCTAGTAGACAATACAACAATCCTGTCATCCACCACTGACCAGAAAAGACTGCAAATCCTGGACGCTATACTCATAAAAGAAAAGAGACCCAGCCTAAATATACAGAGTTCAGACTTCGACACCTTGCCTACGCTCAGACCCAGACCTCACCATACAGTACCGGATAACATCTCTACCTAGTACTCTCCGCCCACCGCCTTACCCATTGCTTAATGGGCATCCATCCCCCTTATTCCCCCCTATTTATCCCCCCCATACACAATTTCACCTGGATTATACCTCTTTCACATGTGTGTTTAAGATCAATTTGCACCATATTTCTTACCTTCCTAATCATCCCTTACCTGAAGATGTGCCGCAGTGGAAGGAAACTTTCTAGAAAATGTTCCCTTCAATAATCAATAGTTTCTTTACCCTGAATTTCTTTAATTTAATTGTTCTTCTTAATCCCGAGAGTGAGAAAATGGTTTGAAGCACAGAAAGCTTATACTACAGGATCGACAGTGGTAAAAAAGTGTGTGTGTGTGTGTGTGTGTACTCACCTAATTGTGCTTGCGGGGGTTGAGCTCTGGCTCTTTGGTCCCGCCTCTCAACCGTCAATCAACTGGTGTACAGATTCCCGAGCCTATTGGGCTCTATCATATCTACATTTGAAACTGTGTATGGAGTCAGCCTCCACCACATCACCTCCTAATGCATTCCATTTACTAACTACTCTGACACTGAAAAAGTTCTTTCTAACGTCTCTGTGGCTCATTTGGGTACTCAGCTTCCACCTGTGTCCCCTTGTTCGCGTCCCACCAGTGTTGAATAGTTCATCCTTGTCCACCCGGTCGATTCCCCTGAGGATTTTGTAGGTTGTGATCATGTCCCCCCTTACTCTTCTGTCTGCCAGTGTCGTAAGGTGCATTTCCCGCAGCCTTTCCTCATAACTCATGCCTCTTAGTTCTGGGACTAGTCTAGTAGCATACCTTTGGACTTTTTCCAGCTTCGTCTTGTGCTTGACAAGGTACGGGCTCCATGCTGGGGCCGCATACTCCAGGATTGGTCTTACATATGTGGTGTACAAGATTCTGAATGATTCCTTACACAGGTTCCTGAACGCCGTTCTGATGTTAGCCAGCCTCGCATATGCCGCAGACGTTATTCTCTTTATGTGGGCTTCAGGAGACAGGTTTGGTGTGATATCAACTCCTAGATCTTTCTCTCTGTCTGTTTCATTAAGTACTTCATCTCCTATTCTGTATCCTGTGCCTGGCCTCCTGTTTCCACTGCCTAGTTACCTAGTGTGTGTGTGTGTGTGTGTGTGTGTGTGTGTGTGTGTGTGTGTGTGTGTGTGTGTGTGTGTGTATGTGTGTGTGTGTGTGTGTGTATGTGTGTATGTGTGTATGTGTGTATGTGTGTATGTGTGTGTGTGTGTGTGTGTGTGTGTGTGTGTGTGTGTGTGTGTGTGTGTGTGTGTGTGTGTGTGTGTGTGTGTGTGTACTCACCTAGTTGTACTCGCCTAGTTGTGCTTGCGGAGGATGAGCTCTGGCTCTTTGGTACCACCTCTCAACTGTCTATCAACTGGTGTACAGATTCCTGAGCCTGCTGGGCTCTATCACATCTATATTTGAAACTGTGTATGGAGTCGGCCTCCACCACATCACTTCCTAGTGCATTCCATTTACTAACTACTCTGACGCTGAAAAAGTTTTTTCTAATGTGTCTGTGGCTCATTTGGGTACGAAACTTCCACCTGTATCCCCTTGTGCGCGTGTGTGTGTCCGTCATCACATCACCATTAGAACAATGGCCCATTACATCTTCTCCGATGGCCTTTCTCTCCGACGGTGGGCTCTCCTGGCCGCACGCTTGACAGTGGGCTCTCCTGGGGCCAGATTCACGAAAGCACTTATGCAAGCACTTACGAACGTGTACATCTTTCCTCAATCTTTGACGGCTTTGGTTACATTCATTAAACAGTTTACAAGCAAGGTAACTTCCCATTCAACTGTTGTTATTGTTATAAACAGATTCCTGGTTCTTCGGAGCTCATTAACTATTTAATAATTGGAAACAAAGCTGCCAAAGATTGGGAAAAGATGTACACGTTCATAAGTGCTTGCGTAAGTGCTTGCGTAAGTGCTTTCGTAAATCTGGCCCCTGGCCGCTCTCTTGACGGCGGGCTAGCTCTCCTGGCCGCCCTCTTGACGGCGGGCTAGCTCTCCTGGCCGCACGCTTGACGGCGGGCTAGCTCTCCTGGTCGCACTGGCCGCACTCTTGACGGCGGGCTAGCTCTCCTGGCAGCCCTCTTGACGGCGGGCTAGCTCTCCTTGCCGCCCTCTTGACGGCGGGCTAGCTCTCCTGGCCGCCCTCTTGACGGCGGGCTAGCTCTCCTGGCCGCCCTCTTGACGGCTGGGCTAGCTCTCCTGGCCGCACTCTTGACGGCGGGCTAGCTCTTCTGGCCGCACTCTTGACGGCGGGCTAGCTCTTCTGGCCGCACTCTTGACGGCGGGCTAGCTCTCCTGGTCTCTTGACGGCGGGCTAGCTCTCCTGGCCGCCCTCTTGACGGCGGGCTAGCTCTCCTGGCCGCACTCTTGACGGCGGGCTAGCTCTCCTGGCCGCACTCTTGACGGCGGGCTAGCTCTCCTGGTCGCACTCTTGACGGCGGGCTAGCTCTCCTGGCCGCACTCTTGACGGCGGGCTAGGTCTCCTGGCCGCACTCTTGACGGCGGGCTAGCTCTCCTGGCCGCACTCTTGACGGCGGGCTAGCTCTCCTGGCCGCACTCTTGACGGCGGGCTAGCTCTCCTGGCCGCCCTCTTGACGGCGGGCTAGCTCTCCTGGCCGCCCTCTTGACGGCGGGCTAGCTCTCCTGGCCGCACTCTTGACGGCGGGCTAGCTCTCCTGGCCGCCCTCTTGACGGCGGGCTAGCTCTCCTGGCCGCCCTCTTGACGGCGGGCTAGCTCTCCTGGCCGCACTCTTGACGGCGGGCTAGCTCTCCTGGCCGCACTCTTGACGGCGGGCTAGCTCTCCTGGCCGCACTCTTGACGGCGGGCTAGCTCTCCTGGCCGCACTCTTGACGGCGGGCTAGCTCTCCTGGCCGCACTCTTGACGGCGGGCTAGCTCTCCTGGCCGCACTCTTGACGGCGGGCTAGCTCTCCTGGCCGCACTCTTGACGGCGGGCTAGCTCTCCTGGCCGCACTCTTGACGGCGGGCTAGCTCTCCTGGCCGCACTCTTGACGGCGGGCTAGCTCTCCTGGCCGCCCTCTTGACGGCGGGCTAGCTCTCCTGGCCGCCCTCTTGACGGCGGGCTAGCTCTCCTGGCCGCCCTCTTGACGGCGGGCTAGCTCTCCTGGCCGCCCTCGTGACGGCGGGCTAGCTCTCCTGGCCGCCCTCTTGACGGCGGGCTAGCTCTCCTGGCCGCCCTCTTGACGGCGGGCTAGCTCTCCTGGCCGCACTCTTGACGGCGGGCTAGCTCTCCTGGCCGCACTCTTGACGGCGGGCTAGCTCTCCTGGCCGCACTCTTGACGGCGGGCTAGCTCTCCTGGCCGCACTCTTGACGGCGGGCTAGCTCTCCTGGCCGCACTCTTGACGGCGGGCTAGCTCTCCTGGCCGCACTCTTGACGGCGGGCTAGCTCTCCTGGCCGCACTCTTGACGGCGGGCTAGCTCTCCTGGCCGCACTCTTGACGGCGGGCTAGCTCTCCTGGCCGCACTCTTGACGGCGGGCTAGCTCTCCTGGCCGCACTCTTGACGGCGGGCTAGCTCTCCTGGCCGCACTCTTGACGGCGGGCTAGCTCTCCTGGCCGCACTCTTGACGGCGGGCTAGCTCTCCTGGCCGCACTCTTGACGGCGGGCTAGCTCTCCTGGCCGCACTCTTGACGGCGGGCTAGCTCTCCTGGCCGCACTCTTGACGGCGGGCTAGCTCTCCTGGCCGCACTCTTGACGGCGGGCTAGCTCTCCTGGCCGCACTCTTGACGGCGGGCTAGCTCTCCTGGCCGCACTCTTGACGGCGGGCTAGCTCTCCTGGCCGCACTCTTGACGCTCGGTGATGGAGGGCGGTGAGATTTTGAAAGTCTTGCCGCCCCATAACTGCCGCTCTCTCACACTGCCCACTCCGTCAGCCTCACGACACCTGGCCTTACCCACCAGGTCACCCATTACCAGCATGGACACTAATGGCTATATTCCGTGGCCAGCGCTGGATCACCACCGGAGACGCTCCAGGGGCTGGTCCGCCAGTCAAGCGGGGGAGGGGTGGACGTCGGCAGCCCTGGCGTGCTGACCAAGGCCCTAAGACCACCTCCGGTTTAAATAAAGTCAGAATGTGACATGAAGATGGCTCGGTGGATGGAGATGACTCGGTGGATGGAGATGACTCGGTGGATGGAGATGACTCGGTGGATGGAGATGACTCGGTGGATGGAGATGACTCGGTGGATGGAGATGACTCGGTGGATGGAGATGAGTTGGTGGATGGAGATGACTCGGTGGATGAAGATGACTCGGTGGATGGAGATGACTCGGTGGATGGAGATGACTCGGTGGATGGAGATGACTTGGGGGATGGAGATGACTCGGTGGATGGAGATGAGTCGGTGGATGGAGATGACTCGGTGGATGGAGATGACTCGGTGGATGGAGATGACTCGGGGGATGGAGATGACTCGGGGGATGGAGATGACTTGGTGGATGGAGATGACTCGGTGGATGAAGATGACTCGGTGGATGGAGATGACTCGGTGGATGGAGATGACTCGGTGGATGAAGATGACTCGGTGGATGGAGATGACTCGGTGGATGGAGATGACTCGGGGGATGGAGATGACTCGGTGGATGGAGATGACTCGGTGGATGGAGATGACTCGGTGGATGGAGATGACTCGGTGGATGGAGATGACTCGGTGGATGGAGATGACTCGGTGGATGGAGATGACTCGGTGGATGGAGATGACTCGGTGGATGGAGATGACTCGGGGGATGGAGATGACTTGGTGGATGAAGATGACTCGGTGGATGAAGATGACTCGGGGGATGGAGATGACTTGGTGGATGAAGATGACTCGGTGGATGAAGATGACTTGGTGGATGAAGATGACTCGGTGGATGGAGAGTGGAGTGTGTTAGGCACACACAGAGCGCGGGGGGTGTAACTCAGAGGTAGAGTGCTCGCTTCGCATGTGAGAAGACCCGGGTTCAATCCCCGGCACCTCCACGGTGTTTTTCAGTGATTCAGTTTGCGAGCATTCGCATCAAACAGCCTGGTTGACGAGACCAACAACCATGAGGCCTGGTCAGAGACCGGACCGGGAGACGTTGCTCCCCGAAATCAACGCAAGATACGGTAACACATCCTCACAATTAAGAGTCCCAAAAGATATCAGCTATGTATTAACTTCTATAAATTAAAACTACAAATAAGAATGTAAGAAACTTAGTTGTTTGACTGGAGTAGATAATGGAGGTGTTCGCCTTCAGACGTGTAACAAGGAACCCCCGGCTGGGGTAACTGCTGGCCTCACCAACCTGCAGCGAACATCTAAATTTAGAATCTTATAATAGAGATTAAATAATAATTTTGTGCAGCAAGAACTGGTGATTCAATTAATTTGGGGTTAGCCTAACGTGTGCCTCAAATACTCGTTGTTTATTAAATTGAATTATTGAGTACATTAACTCTCAAGGTAGATCCAATTGAAATAATTACTGTCAAAAGATTATTTGACCTTCACTCATCTAATTTTTACTACAAAGGCTGAACAAGCCTTTTTTCTGAACTTTTCTGAACAATTACTACACTTGGACCAAGCCTCCTGATGGGTGAAAACCCCATGTCATCAGAGGATTCCTTCAACAAGAATGATTACTGGCGCAATAACACAGTTTTGCAAGGATCCCAACATAATATATGATGTGGAGCCGGTCGGCGGAGCGGATAGCACGCTGGACTTGTGATCCTGTGGTCCTGGGTTCGATCCCAGGCGCCGGCGAGAAACAATGGGCAGAGTTTCTTTCACCCTATGCCCCTGTTACCTAGCAGTAAAATAGGTACCTGGGTGTTAGTCAGCTGTCACGGGCTGCTTCCTGGGGGTGGAGGCCTGGTCGAGGACCGGGCCGCGGGGACACTAAAAAGCCCCGAAATCATCTCAAGATAACCTACTACAACTGTCTCTTCAATCCGGGTGCCCGAAATCTTTTGATATTTTGTTCAGAATTTATATAGGCTTCTTGGTGGGCTGGGCATAGCATTTTTAAGTAGTTATCTGTGGTGAAGACAACATGTCCTCGGAGAAGAAACACTCACAGGAATGGATTAAGAACAACATATTTAGTGCAATTAACTACTCTCCATTAATATGATGTATTATTGATGACAATGTGAAATAATTCGAAAACTATTTCAGTGTACCCGAAAATTCCGTTGACAGAAAAGCCAATTCTTCAAAGAAAACCTTTTTTCAGCATATACTTTTTTATATTTTAAACAAACGAACAAGTCAAGTCCTCCCACCAAAGTCAAGTCCTCCCCCAAGTCAAATCCTTCCCCAAAGTCAAATCCTTCCCCAAAGTCAAATCCTTCCCCAAAGTCAAGTCCTCCTCCAAGTCAAGTCCTCCCCAAGTCAAGTCAAGTCAAGTCCTCCTCCAAGTCAAGTCCTCCTCCAAGTCAAGTCCTCCCCCAAGTCCTCCTCCAAGTCAAGTCCTCTCCCAAGTCAAGTCCTCCCCCAAGTCAAGTCCTCCCCCAAGTCAAGTCCTTCTCCAAGTCAAGTCTTCCCCCAATTCAAGTCCTCCCCCAAGTCCTCCCCCAAGTCAAGTCTCCCCCAAGTCAAGTCCTCCCCAAGTCAAGTCCTCCCCCAAGTCCTCCCCAAGTCAAGTCCTCCCCCAAGTCAAGTCCTCCCCAAGTCAAGTCCTCCCCCAAGTCAAGTCCTCCCCCAAGTAAGTCCTCCCCCAAGTAAGTCCTCCCCAAATCAAGTCCTCCCCCAAGTCAAGTCCTCCCCCAAGTCCTCCCCAAAGTCCTCCCCCAAGTCAAGTCCTCCCCCAAGTCAAGTCCTCCTCCAAGGTCAAGTCCTCCTCCAAGTCAAGTCCTCCTCCAAGTCAAGTCCTCCCCCAAGGTCAAGTCCTCCCCCAAGGTCAAGTCCTCCCAAAGTCAAGTCCTCCTCCAAGTCAAGTCCTCCTCCAAGTCAAGTCCTCTCCCAAGTCAAGTCCTCCCCCAAAGTCAAGTCCTCCCCCAAAGTACTCCTCCAAGTCAAGTCCTATACCAAGTCAAGTCCTCCCCCAAAGTCCTCCTTCAAGTCAAGTCCTCCTCCAAGTCAAGTCCTCCCCAAAAGTCAAGTCCTCCCAAAGTCAAGTCCTCCCAAAGACAAGTCCTCCCAAAGACAAGTCCTCCCAAAGTCAAGTCCTCCCCCAAATCAAGTCCTTCCCCAAGTCAAGTCCTCAAGTCCTCCTCAAGCTCCACATACGGTCTCCACCATTAATCTGCCTGTCATTGTTAGACAAGCACTGATTGTGTAACGGATGGTTGGCAGTGGTTATTAACTACCTGCCAATTGCTTCATTGCTTAATACCCGGGCTAGCGTGGAAGACGGACACACTATGCCCAGTTCTGGAGCAGTAAAAAACAGCTCTCTGTAGATACACTACTATCAATGTGAGGGGCAAAAATTGCATACAAAGTTTCAGGGCGTTCAACATGTATTATACAGTCGCGGGAGCTAGTCCAAAGAGCTATTTTATTCCAGTATCACAATATTCTGTCGTATTTCATCATATAATTGTTTACAATGATATGATATAGACTTTCCAGTCGTTAGCCTCACGCCTTGCTCTTCACACACAACCAGCAATGATGTAATGTTTGTGATGTCATTATAAACCGAGCTTGTAAAAGCTCTTTAAATCACTGTCTGTGATCGAGTGCTCAGCAGCTCGCTATATAAGGCAGTAGCTTTCTTGCCTGGTCAATGCAAGAGGGACTAAATCATATTATATATATATATATATATATATATATATATATATATATATATATATATATATATATATATATATATATATATATATATATATATATATATATATATGCTGGTTAACATTCTATAAATTAATGACCAACGTAGGGAAAATACTGCTGTCGTTTCCCCGTGACCTCACCCCATGCTGTAATACAGGCTAATCAATCCCTTCTGATCTCAAACATCCAATTTGATGAAAATCAGGTCTTTCAATAGGCAGAAAATAACATGTTAAATGAAGATCCAGCTCTTACGCAATAGACAAAAAACGAAAATATAAAAACGGAAATCACATATAGAACGCAGTCAAATTACTCTATAGAAGGAAAAGCAACGTGAAGATTCTAGGTGTACTCATGTCGAAGAGCTTACCTTTAAAGACCACAATAACGTAGCCGTCACAACTGCAAGAAAAATGACAGATTGGATAACAAGAACCTTTCAAAGAAGGGATGTCATACCAATGATGACACTTTTCAAAACGCTAGTGCTCTCTAGAGTGGAGTACTGTTGCACAATGACAGCCCCTTTCAAAGCTGTGAAATTGCTGACCTGGAGAGCGTGCAGAGATCCTTTACTGCTAGAATCCACTCAGTAAAACATCTAAACTATTGGGACCGACTAAAGAGCTTAAATCTGTATTCTCCTGAGCACAGGCGGGAGAGATACATAGTAATTTACACGTGGAAAATAGTAGAGGGGCTGGTCCCAAACCTGCACACAGAAATAACACCACATGAGACCAGGAGGCATGGCAGGATGTGCAGAATACCCCCGTTGAAGAGCAGAGGTGCAACAGGTACTCTGAGAGAGAATTCTATCAACATCAGAGGCCCGAGACTGTTCAACACGCTTCCACTACACATAAGGGGCATAACTGGCAGACCCCTCACAGTGTTCAAGAGAGAACTCGATAAGCACCTCCCAAGGTTACCTGATCAACCAGGCTGTGATTGCCAGCCACCTCTGTAATCCGTCCGCAATCTAGGGGTGGGGGAGGGCCGTTGCTTCGTTTTCTATTCGTTGGTTCTCTGTTAGGTTAGGTTCGGGTAGTTTAATAACTCGTTTATGTGCCGTTGAGTCAACGGGAGAGGACGCGCCCGAACTCGTCTATATCACGATGATAAACATGAAACACAAAAGTATAAAAAACACACACTAATGATTAATAGAGATTTTAAGGGAAAAAATTATATATTTTATATACACATCCATAAATTTAGGGAATATGACAAATAGTATACTACAGGATTCTTATCTAGACCTAATCTAGATCAGCATTTCATGGCTATAGTCTATCAGCATTTCATGGCTATAGTCTATCAGTATTTAATGTCTATAGTCTATTGTCAACGACAAGTGAACACCCCCACTGGCACCCCTAGCCCATTCTCCAGACTTGCCACTCCGTTAAAAATGCCACTGTTTAGCCTAACCAGAAACGAAAGCAGCCCATCTAGCCTATAGACTCACCCTTGCTCTGTTTTAATATTACATATTAAACCTATCGGTCGATTGCGTTGCAAATGCGACGTGTTGAGTCGGACAGGGAGGAGAGGCAGGGTTCACACGCGAGCCACACAGCCACTCCAGCAAGCGGATATTGCCGGATAATACCGAGCCGGATGACAGGCATGATATGAACTTCTGCCGTCACGGGTACATCCGGAAGATGCAGGAGCAGCCAGCTACCTCAGACACCAGTGGGTCCGGATCCTCAAGGTTATCTTGAGGTTATCTTGAGATGATCTCGGGGGTTTTTAGTGTCCCCGCGGCCCGGTCCTCGACCAGGCCTCCACCCCCAGGAAGCAGCCCGTGACAGCTGATTAACACACAGGTACCTATTTGACTGCTAGGTTACAGGGGCATAGGGTGAAAGAAACTCTGCCCATTGTTTCTCGCCGGCGCCTGGGATCGAACCCAGGACCACAGGATCACAAGTCCAGCGTGCTGTCCGCTCGGCCGACCGACTCCCAAGGTCTCTTTAATTAACAGTGTCTCAGTACTCAAGTACTAATAGGAACCTCTACACCTTTGTCTCAATCTGCGGCGGCTTTGGTTACATTTATTAAACGGTTTATGATCGTCTAAACTTCTCCCACAGTCAAGTGTTGTTATCGTTATAAAGAGCCTCCTCTATATGAGGGGTTCGACGATTGATTGATTGATGAAGATTAAGCCACCCAAAAGGTGGCACGGGCATGAATAGCCCGTAAGTGGTGGCCCTTTTGAGCCATTACCAGTATCAATAGATGATACTGGAGATCTTTGGAGGTGTGACTGCACCCTGAGTGACGAGAGATGTCTCCCGTGAAGTGCTTCGACGCTAGTGAACTGTTTTATATTACAAAACTGTTCTGTCCGAAACGCTATGGGGGTTAGTGGCATGGCAAGAATGTAAGAACAATGGTATGCACTCCCACAAACCCATTGTACCTTCTAGTAAATATAAATAAATATTTAAATAAATAAATATAAATCTTTATTTTCTTCTCCGAGGCTATGGGTCCCTACACTTGCACCAGAGGTGGTACCCCTTCTAGGTAATAAATAAACATATATATAAATATGCGAACAAGCCTGAATGGTCCCCAGGACTATATGCTGGGGTGTGAGTTTTCAGTCGTCATATATATAAATATATGTAAACAAAGCCGCCAAAGATTGAGAAAAACTGAACAGCTTCGTAAGTACTTGGGTACGTAAAGAATCCAGGTCCAGCTTTGTTTCTTGATTGATTGATTGATTGATTGATTGATTGATGAAGATTAAGCCACCTAAGAGGTGGCATGGGCATGAATAACCCATCTTTTTTTATTATTTACCGCTCCGTAAAAAAAGCAAATCCAACTTCCTAACCAAACCAGAAACGTACGAACCCAAGCAACCCACCTAACCTGTCGAGTCCTATGCATAAAAAAACGTGTATAATTGTGAACACGTCACACACTTGGTCCGGGAGACATCTCCCGTCACGCAGGGTGCAGTTGCACCTCCACAGATCTCCAGTATCAGCTCTTGATACTGGTAATGGCTCAAAAGGGCCACCACTTACGGGCTATTCATGCCCGTGCCACCTTTTCGATGGTTTAATCGTCATCTTGGACAGATTCATGGGAGACATCTCCCGTCACGCAAAGTGCACTTGCACCTCCTCAGATCTCCAGTATCAGCTCTTGATACTGGTGATGGCTCGAAAGGGCCACCACTTACGAGCTATTCATGCCCGTGCCACCTTTTGGGTGGCTTCATCTTCATCTTCTTCATCTGTTTAAAACACGGGAGACATCTCCCGTCACGCTGGGTGCAGTCGCACCTCCACAGATCTCCAGTATCATCTATTGATACTGGTGATGGCTCAAAAGGGCCACCACTTACCAATTCATGCCCGTGCCACCTATTGGGTGGCTTCATCTTCATCTTAACACATTCACAAGGGACACATCTCCCATCATGCAGGGTGCATTCGCACCTCCACAGATCTCCAGTATCAGCTCTTGATACTGGTAATGGCTTAAAATGGCCACCACTTACGGGCTATTCATGCCCGTGCCACCTTTTGGGTGGCTTAATCTTCATCATCATGTGAACACGTGCAGACGATGAGTCACAATAACGCGGCTGAAGAGTTGATGACCAAACCGCACATCAGAAGATGAGGCGACGACGGATTTTCGTTATCAAGTCCTTTGTGACGTTGGTTACTATAAACGTACAAACCGCGATGTATTATTTAAGAGAACGGGATGCAGACGGAGTGAACTGTATCTATGTGATTTGTGTCGAGTTACGAACCTGACGACACTTTTTAATTGGCGGAAAGTAAGGAATTAACCTTTTCTTAGCTAGTGACTTGCTAGAATCTGCAGGCGATGAGTCACAATAACGTGGCTGAAGAATGTTGACCAGACTACACACTAGAAGGTGAAGGGACGACGACGTTTCGGTCCGTCCTGGACCATTCTCAAGTCGATTGTGAGGAAGTTGATTGCCTGTATCAACTTCCTCATCACAATCGACTTGAGAATGGTCCAGGACGGACCGAAACGTCGTCGTCCCTTCACCTTCTAGTGTGTGGTCTGGTCAACATTGCTAGAATCTCCAATGACTGCTTTTATTCTGCTCTAGGGTAAAGCACTTGGTATGCACTAGTGACTAGGGTATATTGTAAAGTTACAGCAAGTCACAGTCCCGCTCCTGTGCCAGGTAAGTCCACTAAGGGCTCACCATAGCCCGTGCTACATTGCAACTTTTTGTTCCGAGTAGTTGAATCTAAAAAACAACATGTAAACTACAATGTTTGAACCACCCAAGTGAATAGCATTTTCAGTGTGAAGTTGTTTGGCATATTATTTCAGGGACACGTTCGGTGCGGGTGTGATCAACGAGGCTGTGTTTGCTGTGTGAACTTGCGAGCTATTGTTAATTCCTAAATTTGGACGTTGCACCATTTTGTTTGCTGTTGAGTTTATAACTCAAGTGTTGACGGTGATGC